GGAGGGGCGCGAAGAGAATCGCGCTTTGCGAATCGTGCCCTCGGCCAAGGAGCTGCCCCTAACCCCCTATCACCAGAGGTGGCCTCGCGAGGGCGCGAAGTGGACCGCGCGTCGCGCATCGCGGGGCGCGATGCGCGAAGTCGGGTGACCTTAGACTTGGGGGGAGGAGGATGAGGCGGGGGCAGGGGAGGGAGGAAAAGGGAGGGAAAGGGGGGGGGAGGGAAAAGAGGAGGGAGGTGAAGGAAGGGAAAGGGGAGGTGGAAAGGGGGCGTGCCCTGGTCTGGAGTTGTCTGGCGTTGCCCGGGCGGCCCCTGGCATTGCTCAGAGTGTTCTTGGGTTGCCCGTGCAACGCCGAACAATGCCAAGCATCGCCAAGTACCTCAAAGCAATGCCAAGCACCGACTCCAATCAAGGCCAGGCAACGCCAAGCAGTGCAGAGCAATGCCAGGAAATGCTTGGCGTTGCAGTGCTCTGCATTTCTCAGAACTGTTTGAATTGCTCTGGGGAAAAAAAGGCTCCCACTTGGAGCTGCCCCAAATTGGGGTCGCGTTGGGCCCATGTTTGTCAGCGGCGACGTGAGACGCGAAGAGCGTCGAGCAGCAACAGCCAGGGCGCGGTGGAGCTCCGAAACTACCGATAAGTCGGGCGTGTCCCTCTACAGGAGGAATACTCGAGAATAGTTAAACAATAGCCTGGGACGATTTTCCGACTATTTCTAACTACTTTGATATTTGTTTTACTATTGTTATTGTTCTTCCAAGACCCGCCTGTAGGAGGACATGCCCGACCTGAAACCAACGGGAGCGGAGAGGTGAGCGACTGCGGAGGGGGGCAAAGGCAGGCGCCGCGCTCAGACCGTGCACGGTGGATTCGCGTCGTGTCGGCGCGGCGGCGACCGCGGGCGCTCAGGGGCGAACACCGCCAGTTGCCCAGGATCGGACAGAGCGGCGGGGGCCCATGCCAAGAAGCACCCTGCTTGCCTCCAGGGGGCCCTGGGTTTCTTGGGCCTCGGTGGTTTTGCCATGGAGAGCGTGGCGTTCCCGCACCAAGAATCGATGGGGCCTCCTGGGGTCTCAGGGTTGGGTTTCTCGTGGAAGGTTTCTTGTGGACTGGCCTCCACTGTAGCTGAGAGCTCATCCATCGCTACTCGCTCATACAATGCCTTCAGCTCTGTAGGCCGTTGTATGCCTCCACGTCGCGCCCAGCGGGCCCGCGGCTCGCCCTTCGGGCCTTGGTTGCGACGGACCCGGTGGCTCGAAGTCCACGAGCAGAATCAAGTCGGGCATGTCCCTGGCAATCGGAACCCGCCGATCGTTCAGCTCTGAACGATCCACGCGGCGTCAGAAAGGCAACGCTGGGGTCGTCACGGCACGAACCTGCCGTATAGCACACCGCTCGTGGTGCAGGCGGCTTCGGGTTTCCAAGAGGAGTCGTGCAGAGGCAGACAAACAGACAGGCAGAGATAAAGACAGCCAGACTTACAGGGAGAAGGATCGGCGGCGAGCGAGGGGGGGAATGAGAAGGAGAAGGCCTTCTCAGAAGGCGGCAGGACTTCTCAGAAGCCCTCGCGTTTTTTGAGAAGTTTTCGTCTGTCTCTGGGGAAGGCTTAGAGAAAACCGTTCAGAAGGCCAGGGGACTTCCGAACCTTCTTAGAAGGCCTTCTCCTTCTCACTTTCCTCTTCGTTCACCGCCGAGAGAGAGAGAGAGAGAGAAAGAGAGAGAGAGAGAGAAAGAGAGAAAGAGAGAGAGAGAGAGAGATTTGGGGATACACGTCTCGGAAACAAGCAAGCAGCACGCAGCGCGTTTCTGAAGACTCACACCTCCCCACCTGCGTGCAATGTTTGGCGGTTCGTGCGGTTTACTCCTCGACGGTCCGAGGTGAGCACGCCAACATTAAGCTTTCGAGGGCATGAGGGGGCTGTTGCTAAATGTTGTCCGCCTGCTTTGTGTAGGTGTGTGGGGGGGCCAGAATAGAACCCAGATGGGGCCGTAAAAATACGCACGGGGAAAGCCCCAGGAGTAGATACTTGGGCCAGTATAGGACCTGGATGCGAGTAGAGGAAATGGAGGGTTGGATGAGGAAAGGGACTGTGGCGAGGACGGCGAGGATCAGGAAGGGAAGAGGAGGAGGAGGAGGAGGAGGAGGAGGAGGAGGAGGAGGAGGAGGAGAAGGGGGGGGAGTGTGCGGGCGCTTTGTTTCCCTATTCAATATCCCCCCGCCATCCCACCTTTCCCCTTTCCTCCCCGTTCCCCCCGCATTCTCTCCCATCGCCCTCCCTCCCACACCTTTCTCGCCCTCCCCTCCCCTCGTCCTCGTCTTCCCCTTTACAACTACACAATATGAATACTACTCTCCTCTCTTCCCTGATGACGTCCCGCAAGATATCCGGCCCCCCTTCCGCGTATTGTTTTTTTGCGCACAGGTTTCCTGGAGTTGGGTTTTCGCTTGGTTGTTTTCAACATGTTGTTCCCGCTGAAGCACTGGGCTGGCCTCATTTCCGCGCTTCCGCTCGTTCCGATTCGTGCTCCCGCTGCAACGTTGGCCTCATTTCCGCGCTTCTGCTCGCTTCGAATCATGCTCCCACTGCAGCGCTGGCGTCGTTATGTCCAGTGCCATGCCACGGCATGGTCTTCAGTCTTTCCAAATAGGCCCCAAAATCTAGAACACTGTCCCCAAGAAAACCATCGGAAGTGAGTACACATTCGATGTCGACTCGTAGGTTTTTGGGGCCGCAGAAGCCCCCCCCCCCCGCCCTCACTTTGGCGCGTCGCCACGCCATGCCATGTCATGCTACGCGTTGATCTTCAACACCATGCTATGCCATGTAATTCTGTGCCATGCTACGACATCCGTCTGTGCGACTAGAGAGGATATCTACGCCATGGTAAGGGATGGGAGGCAGGGGTAGGGCGTCAGATGTGACGCATGCGCAACTAGCTTGCCCGTCCACTTCCTCTTTGCGCCGCCCTCTGCCGACCTGCTGGGCCCCCACCCGACCCGCGGAGCCATCGAAACTGTTGATAATTGGTTGTTGCCATGATAGTGCATGGCGACGTGGGCCGGCTGTGGCCGCAATTCAACCCTGGACGTTCCCATACACGCTTTAAGTTAGCGAGTAGGTTAGAAAAGGTACGCCATCTGGCACACCCACGCCAAGACGCCAGACATGATGGACGACGTGCTTGTTAAGCGTGTTCGCGTGTCGTTGGGCATAGTATTTCGATCACCATTTCGAGTACCTCGGAATCTGGAGTATCACAGTCCCAACCCTGTGGACCAGGCGATTGGTACAACAGAGAGAGAGAGAGAGGGAAAGAGGAGCGCGACACAGAGGTCATGGTACCTTCTTGGATCACGCCTTTATCGCTGGGCCAGAGCAGTTGCCCCAGCCTCTGCTACTGCTGCTGCTGCTGCTGCTACTGCGTATAAGTCTTCTCATATTTGCAGGGTTTCGCCCTCTGGCGCCACCCCCCACTCAGATTGCGTGCGTGGCCACGCTTGGTCGGTAGGTTGGTTAATTTGATGTTCTTGTCGGTTGGCTGGCTAGCTAAATTCATGGTTGGCAGTTGAGTTGGGCTGTTTGCTGGCCGGCTGCGCGCGTTTGTAGTAAGCAGTTATGATGGTGGTTTCGGGAGCGTGTTGCCATTGCAATTCACGAAGACTGAAAGCGCGCTCCCGTACCCATGTTATAGGATTCGTGGCCTCAGGTCCAGAGTCGAAATCTCAGGAAACGGCGGGGGGTGGAGGGCGAGAAGCGCCTCCCCGAACACATATCCCAATCCAGGAGTTCAAGTGTTTCCCTCTGGAGAGATGGGTGGCGCTTTTGGGGCAGTCTCAGCGGGATGGGTTGGTGGCCTCGGGAACGCGCACGCGCCGTGATCTACTAGAGAGTGTGGCATCGGGGGCGCGAACCAGTCGGAATATACGAGGAGGTGTGGCTTCAGGATTACGGGAGATTGTGCCTTCGGGAGCGCAAGCCCAGTGTCATTTACACATGATTGTGGCATCGGCAGCGCGAAGGCGCCGTGCTCTATTAGGGACGGTGGCCTGCGAGCGCGAACCCGTTGTGCTCTACAATTGTGTGTGTGGCATTTGGGGCGCGAATCTGATATCCCCAGCAATTCAGAGCACGTGATTCTGGGAGTACACATGAAGGGTTTCGGGCTCCCCCCCCTCGCGCGGACTTCAACCATTGCAGCATTGGAACTAGAACAAAGAAACTCTACACATAAAACTTGGGAACTGGAACTGCTGCAGGGAGCAGGGCAGTCTAGGCCTCGCAGCCTGTTGGCCCACGAGGGGGTCGGCGGAGTTGTTGCTCCTCATGCTTATCTCCCTCCTCCTCGTCCTCCTCCTCCTCCTCCTCTGCATCCTCCTCCTCCATCTGTTCATCTCTTCCTCCTTTTCATGCTTCTCATCTGCCTCCTACTTCTTTCTGCTCGTCGTCTCCGCAGAAGGGGCAGGCGTGCGCCGTGGACAGTCCCAGCAGTTTGCCGTGTGCGTCGACGGGCCTTGCAGAAATATCTGACCATAGAGTGTCACGCGGCGGCGTCTCATGCGGCGTTGAGATTGCATACGGTCACCTCAGCCACAACCCCGTGCTCCTCATCCTCTTGCTCCCACTCTCCCCCCTCTTTCTCTCTCTCTCTCTCTCTCTCTCCCCTCCGCCCTCCTCCCCCCTCTCTCTCTCTCTTTCTCTCTTTTTCCCATCTGCTGGGACGCGAAACCGAGAACAGGAGGAGCAGGAGGATGAAGCTGTGAGAGGAAAGTGAGGAGGAGGAGAAGGAGGAGGAGGAGGAGGAAGAGGAGGAAGCTGTGGAGGAGGAGGAGGAGGAGGAGGACGCACATGGGTGGAGGAAGCCGTGGAGGAGGAGGACGCACATGGGTGGAGGAGGAGGATGAGGAGGAGGAGGAGGAGGAGGAGGAGGAGGAGGAAGAAGCTGTGGAGGAGGAGGAGGAGGAGGAGGAGGTGCCGCGCCTGGCAGCGAGCCCCCTCGAGGCGAAGCAGCCGGAGGCCACCCCGCCGGCGGAGCCGGCGCGGGCCGCCTCCCGGCGGCCTCCTCCGCCGCCGCCGCCGCCTCCCAGGCTCATCGAGCGCGTTCCATTGCTCGCAAAGTGCCTACTAATGTCTGTCTGTCTGTCTGTCTGTCTGTCTGTCTGTCTGTCTGTCTGTCTGTCTGTCTGTCTGTCCTCCTCCTCCTCCTCCTCCTCCTCCTCCTCCTCCTCCTCCTCCTCATGTGCGTCCTCCTCCTCCACAGCTTCCTCCACCCATGTGCGTCCTCCTCCTCCTCCTCCTCCTCCACAGCTTCCTCCTCTTCCTCCTCCTCCTCCTCCTCCTTCTCCTCCTCACTTTCCTCTCACAGCTTCATCCTCCCCCTCCTCCTGCTCCTCACACGTCTGCCTCGATGTGATGTATCGCAGATCCCCCTCGGCGGATCCATGCCATGTGCGAGCATGTACTTTGCGAGTAGTGGAGCGCGCTTATCCGCAGGCGCGCCGTGGGGGCCCCGGAGACTTCTTCCGAGGCGGTCGGGGCTCAATCAGGAGGGAAAAGAGCACACAGACACAATTAATCTTCGATTCCCCAGAAAACATGGGAAAATATTGGAAGTGGGGGGGAAGACAAAAACCAAGAAAATATATGAAAATATGGGGAATCTGTTTATTTGTGTGTATTTATTTGTGTGTCCCAGGGCCTCTTCATTCAAGGGGCGGGGGTGCATGCGAAAACCGGGGGTCAGCCAGAGCGCCGGATCTCGCAGGATCCTGCACCGACCCAGGCTTGGGCGCAGGAGCCTGCAGGATCGCGCAGGATCCTGCAAGGCCTGACTGACCCGGGTCTGGACTGATCGGGGTCGGTCGTTCCCCGAGGTTGCCGGTCTCGCTGTGCCCGGGCTGGCTGCCCCCCTCGCCGCCGCCACTGCGCCCATGGCGACCACACATGTCAGGGGCAACGATAGGGGGGACTGTCACACCCAGAGATCCGAGGATCTGTTTTTTTCAATCCGCCGGTTTTCTACGTGGATTTCGGCCTCCAGGGCCCGTTATCGACCATCAAACATATATCCAGGACGAAAAAACACTCCTGGGGAACGGGTCGGGATCTCTGGGGCCGCGGGTTGAAGAAATCATATCGGCGGATGTCTGGGCAGGGGGGCAACACATCGATTTGGAATCGGCGATACGTCGCCGTTAGATCGGCGATAGGCCCCCCACAGTTGATCCGCACGTTCCTGGGCGGGGTTGGGCTATCGGCCCCTACTGGCGATGAATGGTCGACTGCCAGTCGATGCATCGCCCCTATGCCTATCTCCCCCTATCGTTGCCCCTGAACATGCAGCGCCCGCACCACCAGCCCTGGCGCCGCTGGCGCCAGCGATGGCCCTGCCTGCGCCAGCGATGGCCCTGCCTCCGCAGACGGCGCCAGGGGCGGCGCCGGCGGGCCCGTGGTGGAGCTCTCCGGCCGTTGGCCTGCAGCAGCCCGGGCTGCCCGAGGCGCCCGCCGTTGCCGTCGTCGTCGTCGTCGTCGTCGTCGTCGTCGTCGTCGTCGTCGTCGTCGTCGCCGGCGACGGCGATGGCGGCGGCGGCGTCGGCGTCGGCGTAAGCGTCTGCATCTGCGGCGTCGGCGTCGGCGTAAGCGTCGGCGTCGGCGTAGGCGTCGGCGTCGGCGTCGGCGTCGGCGTCGGCGTCGGCGTCGGCGTCGGCGTCGGCGTCGGCGTCGGCGTCGTCGGCGGCGGCGGCGGCGTCGTCGTCGTCGTCGGCGTCGTCGTCGTCGTCGTCGTCGTCGTCGTCGGCGTCGTTCTTCGAGCTCCTGGCCCTCCCCGGGCGCCGGGACCGCCGACGCACGATTCGGGCGAGAAGTTGGTCCCTTGGGAATGCCCTGGCGTATCCAGGAGTCGTTTCCACCAGGACCCTGTCTCCTCAGACCAGCCAGAATTGGGGGTCGCTGTGGTTTTTGCCCCCCTGGGGCACCCTTCGGCTTCGGCCTCCCCACCCTCCAGAGGCCAGAGGTCGTCGTCGCGGTGGGTTTCCCCAGGGGCGGGCACAAGACGCCCATCCAAAGTTGTTGCGTCGACGGGGCCAAACCCAGGCCCCACATTTCAATGTCACCTTCGCTGTCGATGTAGAGGGACATCATCGGCATCATAAACGCCCATGAGTTGAACCATATCAAACCCGCAGACACTTGTTTTCAGCAATGAAATTGGGGGACGAGTGGGTTCTCAACGCATGGGCGCGGGTTCATTCGTTTGGTAGGCGTTTTTCTCGCCAACAGCGGCAGCTCCCCCAGTTGTGGTTGGCTGGTCTTCCTCTCTCGTCCCTCCTCCTTGTGCTGCTCTGGTCCTCCTGGCTGGTCGACCCCCCTCGTCCTCCCTCTTACCCGCCTCCAGCTCCTGCTCCTGCGCCGTCTCCTCGTCTCCATCGCCAGAGCTGCCACGGGCGCCTGCTGCAGCGCCGCGCAGCTCACGACTGGCGAGCTGAGCATGATCAACGACCTTGGGGCTGGGACGGACTTGGTGGGAGAAGGGCCTACCACTTTTCAATTCCATCGGGAGGCTCAAGGGAACCCACTGCATCCAGAAGCGCTCTTGACGGCCTGCTCTTAATCAGAAGAGTACTACCGCGCTCCAAAAACAGCGCAACCACCTCGACCCGATCGCAACTGGTTGTGATCCGCCCCAGGTGGTCGACGATCAGTCCGAAGTGTTTGCGATCGGGCCCGATCGCCGACCCTGGGGCTGGGACGGACTTGGTGGGAGAAGGGTTTGCCGTTTGTCTCGCCGAGACAGCGGGCCAGGCAAAACACACCTCCAGAAAGGAGCCAGTGAGTCCACGAGAACGTGTCCACACCCGCCGCTGCGGAGTCGTGCCCAGTGAGGAATCACTCGATCATTCAGGGCGTTTGGACTTTGACGCTAGAACGCGCGCATCAAGTGAGTGTACCCAGTGCGGCATCCAACAACCAATGTCATGGGTGACTATGGGTTCTTTGCAGAGGGCCCTAGTTAAGTTCAGAATCGTTGATGACAACGAGAATAATCGAGAGTTTGATGTACAAGGTGTTGCAGCTTGAGAGTTCGCAGAACTTGTAAATCGATGGAACAGACCGCAAACAGTTTGTGAAACCATGGGCTACATTCAAATGAAATATTGCACTAGCAACTGCAACTGTGGCATCCACCATGGCGTGCAATGTAACCCCAAGAGCCTGCCCGGCTGGCAGTCTGGGCGTGTGTTCTCGAATCGCTTCGCTGCACTTGTCTCCGACTCCAACCAAAGACATCAGCACACAGGTGCTAATGATCGAGAGCGTTCCAGTCATGACCCCATCCCTCGATACTCTCGTTCGTCATCCCTCTCATGCATGGCCGCCCCATGAACCCTGAGCCTCCACAGAGCCATGCCTTGACTTTGGAGAGGCAGGAAGCGGCTCTCGTCTCTGGAGCGAGATGATATCCTAGCTCCTGCACCCTCGGGACAGCGGTTCCCCTTCTGGAGACACCACCCACGTCCTCCCCACTGCCCTTCTCCCTCTTTCTTTCCCCGTCCTCTTCCCCTCGTCTGCCCGTTCCTCCGACCTACGTCTCCCTCTCCGTTCCCGTCCTCCGTCCTCCTTCATAGCCCCCCTCCCCCATTTTCCGTCCGCGTCCCCGTCATCCTCCCCGGCCCCTCTCCTCCACCCCCTGCCAGCCCTTTTCTCTGACCACGTTTGCCCTGCCTGGCACAGGTCCCGCACCAGCTCGAGAATGCTGGGATACCGGCAGGATCCGTCTCTGGGTGGGAGGCGCTGGAGGTTGTCTTCCCAGGGTACGGCGTCCGACCTCGTTCGTCCGCTGAACGGTGACTAGGATTGAGCCGATTCGGATGTGTGGCGACTTCCCACCACCCTAGAGGAACCGTGCCCGTTCAGTTGCCCACTCATTTGCCTAAAGAGTTCGGGCGCCGAATTGGCTCGGCAGGGGACCCTACGGCCCCCGGGCCCTGCTGTACCGCAGTCGCCGCTGCCCCGGGCGCCCTGGCTGCGGAGGGGACCGCCAGCCGGTTTGGATGTTTGGGGGTCGTGGGCCCCAAACTTCCAAATTGTAGGTTTGACCTCCGCGCTGGATTGGTAGTCAAGAGACTGACGCCAGTCCGCCGACACCCCGAGGAGGATGGAAGGTCATATGGTCTTGGTGTTAGCAATGGCATGATGCACCAAAGTAGTGAGCCCGCAAATCGGGAGTCACAGAGGGCCGTCAAGGGGGAGAGCTAGCATGCAAATCTCCCGATCAGTGAGTGTTAGGGGCTACGATCTGGATACCTGTGTGGCGGAATGTGTGAGCCTGTCTTGTCTCCCTCGTAGGGTTTTGTAGGGTCCTTTGGGGGGCCATGGGGCTCGCTCTGGGCCTCTTGGGTCCATGCTGGCGTACCTTCGGAGGTCTTCGGGCCGTCTTGGAGCGGGCGTTGGCCATCTTGGAACCATTTGGGGGCCCTCTTGGAAGCCAGCTTGGAGACGTATGGCATCACGTCTTGGGCAGTGTTGGGGCTTTCTGGAGGTCTCTTGGACCTTCTTGGAGGCGTCTGGAAGTAAGACGGCGAGAAAGCAATAGGAAATGTGATAATTTGGGGGGGCGATAAAGGGGCTCCCTCTTGGGACCTCCTTGAACTTTCTTGGGGTTTCTTGGTGCCTCTTGAGTTGTTGTCTAGGCCTCCTAGGCATGTTGGGGCCCTTCGTGAACTGTCTTGAAGGGTATCTCTGGCATCCTGGAGGCGACAGAGGCTCAGAGGCTAGATTTGGAGGCTCTACCCCCCTCTCCTTAATCAGGAGTTGGGGCCCATATCAGTCGCCTTCTTAGCCCCGGCAAGCCCAGAGGCCAAACGCATCCACTCTAGAGCTTCAGGACCCTGGGCGGGTTGATGTGTGTGTGTGTGTGTGTGTGAATCCCTCCCGGGACCTTTCGCGTTCCCAGGGGAGGAGGACCAGGCGGTAGGGTCCCGTGACGAGACGAGGAAGGGACCCCTCGTCTCGTCACTGGCCATCGCATGTCGTGTCTTGGCCAGTCGCTGCACACATTGCTCATCGTCGTGCCCACACTGCGCACACTGCGCCCTCCCTGTGGGACGTCCCCGTGGGCGGCAGCCAGTGCGCTCTCCCTTTTTGTTCTCCGTCATGCTCGTCCAGATGGCAACGTGCTGTCCCCCTCTGAGCCGGTGCGCGCCTGCTCCGCCCCGGGTTTCGGCCGCCGTGCCTGATTCGCTTCGCCTCGTCGCCGCGCGCGAGGCCGCGACCGCCAAAAGTGTTTGCGTGTGTACTGTCTCCGCCACGTCGCTGCGCGCGAGGCCGCGGCCGCCCAGTGTGTGTGTGTGTGTGTGTGCGTGTGTGTGTGCGTGTGTGTGTGTGTGTGTTTTGGTGTGTGCATGCGCGTTCGCCAGTGCGGTGGGTCGTGAAGCCACTTGGCTGGAACCAGCACTGGCAGGTCAACGCCAAGACGTTCTGGGAGGTGGCGCAATTCAGGAGGACCCGAGTCATCGGTCCGATCGCTGGATAGTGGCGGAAGTAACCAGTCAGCCAGAGGCTGAGCTGAATACCCAGCTGCTCTTGGCAAACCCCGCCATTGTCTTGGCATCGCTCGGACGTGTGTGTTTTTTCTCGGCGAGGACCATCGAGGAGCATCCTGGACCATCGTGCGAACATAAACGCACGAAACCGAAAAGTGTGCGGGGAATGGACGTCCGAGCGATGGCAAGGTGTGCTCAAGGAGTTTAGGCTATGTGTTACCCAACCCGAGGTGGAGACCTTTGGGGAAACACTTGGGGAGACAAGAGAAAGAGAGCGAGAGAGAGGGACAGATAACAAACAAAAACAAAGATAAAGAGAGAGAGAGAGAGAGAAAGGAGAAGCAGGAGGAGGAGGAAGAGGAGGAGGAGGAGGAGAAGGAGCAGGAGCAGGAGCAGGAGAGGAAGATATGGATGGGAAGGGAAGTGGAGAACAAGGATGGGGAGATTGATCTCGAGAGTGTGGCAAGAATGCTTCCGCTGGGGCAGAGGAGGGAAGATTCCGTGAGGAGCGCTGAGGAACCCCTGAGGGCGAAGAAGGGGCGAGCTGAACAGCAAGCGCTGGGAGACCAGACAAATGTCAGCAAGGTGATCGTTTTTTTATTTATTGTTTTGCCGGTCGGCGCGGGCCCTCGCACCCCTCCCCCTCCCCCCCCCCATGGAGTATGTAGATCTTGGCTGTTTTTGGCGCCTGTTTCGATCAGGTGTAGTCTCCCTCATATGCACGCCCTGCTGCAAACAGTCGCACTAAGCAGAGTCTGGAGCCAGACCCCGCCTCCCCCTCTTTTCCGCCCAATGTCGAAACGCCGAATAAAAAACCCTCACAAGCGCTGACGAATGTCAGCTTGTGATGATCAAATGAGGCCCCCCCTGGGGCTGATGAATAGACCCCGCGGGGCGCGAAACATTCTTTGTGTTATCACGCGCGCCGGGGGGTCGTCGCGGGCGCCGCCGAGGTGATCGTGCACCCCCCTTGCACGGCAGTCTCAAAATGGTTGCCTTCCGTATGGAAATTGTTATAGGGATCGTATACATCCGAAACGATTTTTTTCCGTTTCCAGGCTGACTATTGACGTGCAACAGTCACAGTCGTCGTCGTCGTCGGTCGACTATAGCGGGCCTACATAGCACCCCCCCCATGGGGTATCCCCGCAGTGCGTCGTCGTCGTCGTCGTGATCGTCGGCGCGTTGTAGTCGTCGTCGCGTTGTAGTCGTCGTCGTCGTCGTCGTCGTCGTCGTCGTCGTCGTCGTCGTCGTCGTCCGTCGTCCGTCGTCCGTCGTCCGTCGTCCGTCGTCGCTTGTCGTCCGCCGTCCTTTGTCCCTCGTCCGTCGTCCGTCGTCGTCGTCGTCAACATCAACGTCAACGTCAACGTCAACGACAACGTCGTCGTCGTCGTCGTCGAGTACAGCGGCCTACAGCGCCCCCCTCCCCATGGCCCACGGGCCATCCACAGTGCGTCGTCGTCGTCGTCGTCCGCCGTCGCCATCGTTGTCGCCGTCGTCGTCGCTATCGCCGTAGGACAAATGTAAGGGAATGGAAAGAGGAACAGTTTCCGCCTGTCTCTGCCGTTCCTCTCCTCCCTTCCTTTTTTCTTGTTTGTAGCCATGCTGGCACCGCCCGCCAGCTGAGGCGCCCGTTTCCCCCGCCTCCTTTTTCTCTCCTCTTTGTAGCAATTTTGACCCAAACGCCCCGCTGTAGCGGCGTTGATGTCCCCATTCGCTGAAGCGACGCCGCTTGCGTCGCGCCGGCGCCGACGTCGCGCGTTTTTATTTGTCGGGCGCCCCCCCCCCGCGATGCGCCCGAGCAGAGGAACAAAGTCTAAATCACGCGCCACATTTGTTGTTTGGTAATCACAAGCTGACATTATATCAATGCTGCGTTGCATGAGGGCGTCCAACAGACGGCACAAACGCGTTGCGTTGACAACATCGATTACACAAAAGGCCACAAGCAGCATGCCCGAGAGGGACGACAGCTGCTTCGAGATCGGCGTGAGGTCAGACACCGTTTGCGCACCCCACACAAGTCATTTGAGTGGATGAAATGCCAAAAGTTAGAAGAATTGGCGTTGGCAGCGAGGCGGTCATAAAGGATGTAATGAACCGAGCAGGAAGTTGTGCCATTGGTGATTGTTTTGCGCATGGGACTGGATCGGGATTGGGAAATACCGAGAGCTTTTAGCAGGGATTCAGCCGTTCACGGAGGAAGACATTGATTGTTTGCGAGCGGTTAAAAGGCCATCTTGGGCATATATACATATATGTGTATATGTACACACATACGTACCAATATAGATATATAGATTTCACAAAAATCAATGTTATACAGTATATATATATATATACAGATGCACGTGTATATCTACATTTGCACATGTACATATATTTATATACACATGGAGCATGTTGTTGACACGACGAAACGAAATTAACGACAATGAGGCGGAGTTGCGATGTGATGAGCCTATGATCGCGGTCAAATCGAACGGGTTCCACCCAGCGCACACGATGACCAAGTGGACAACGCAGGAATCGTGGTGGACGCTATCAAGCTTTTGGCTGACATCAAGTTGCGACAGAAGCAGAACGGTGTAATCAAACTATGCAGCTACGCGGAACAGGCGGAAGATGCTCGGCACAAGCGGTGGCAGGGACGGATATGGTTGGAGGCGGGGGCCGAGCATTTCGATTTCAGCATGCACTCGCAAGAGTAGATGACTGAGGGCATGCAAATCATCAAGGCAGCAGCGCAGAACACACGCGCGGGCAAACGCCACCGGCAGGAGTTCGACTGCGGAATACTCGGGCATCATATTCCCAACGCGGACGAACAAACGCACGGTAAACAAAAAACAGGTATTAGAATGCGTCGACGTGGCCGAGAATCTAAACCTATTTCAATGTTACGTATTCTTGCGCGCTCGGGTCGGATCACCCTCGAGGACCTACGGGCGCCATTGGTTTGCCGGCGAGCGAAACGGGCGCAAATGCCCGGAGGCAGCAATCAACGAGAAGTAGGCGGGAGTGGAGCTGCGATTTCAACTGATATTTTCTTTGGCTAAGTTTCACGCCTTGCATATTTTTGAAAAAGGCTGCAACGGGTGGCGCGTCCAGCCGGGCGCGCGGAGCATTGCGTCTTCGAGCGGTGATGGCGCAATCGCGGTTCAGATGCGCAGTGGTTGGGGCTTCTCTTTTCAGATTATGGGCGCGCGACAGGCGCGCGACGCCGCGAACGCGTTCGGCTCGATCAAGACGGCCAAGCTGAAGCAGAAAGTGATGAGGCAGCTGGGCGAGAGGCGTATCGCGACCACGTTTGACAGCGCTCAGTGGGCGCGCGTTGCACTTGTTGGCGAGGCGGGCAACATTTGGTTGATGAAGGAGGGCTGCGCGCCAGGATGCCCGATCATGGTGCTTCTCTTCGCGCTGGCGCGCGCGAGAGGGATCGAGAGCCGCGCCCTGATAGAGCGACCGCTGATCGAGGTAGCGCCGCCGTGGGCAGGGCATCAGGAGCAGGCGACAGTCGCGCTGCCCGTTGACGCGCGGCGGACACATTTCAGTTCGGCAACGGTCAGGGGGCGGAAATGCAGTGCCAGGGGCAGAACGGCGCCATCGAAGACTTGCCCATGTGCGTGGGTTTGGGCCCAAACTCGGGGATGCAGGAGGCCGCGTCGCTTTCTTTTGGGAAGAGCGCGCGCAGGAGGGTCGCCCAGCGGCATCGGCGAGGTACTGAGCGAGAGTCGCAGCGATGTTTTCGATGGCGGTGGATGCGAGCTACATGTTTCAGTACAGCGAGTGCGGCGCGGAGTTCAACGGGCAGTTTTTGGGCGGCTAGCGCGTCGCAGAGGTCGGAAATTTCGGTCTTCGAACGATTCGCGGTTGACGACGTCGCGGCAGGCGTCAAGACTTCAGCGAACAAAGATGGGCCAGTGAGAGTTCTTGACCGAGGAACTTGAGTCGCCGGTTGATGGGCAATATTCGCAGGAGTCGCGCGGGCGCCGGAGGGCGGATCGATCGGGTCGACGATTAACTTGCAGGCGACGGTGAAGTTGGCGTCAGTCGGCGTCAGCCAGCGCCTTGGTCAAAGCTTGGGTCAGGAGGCCACAGTGACTGCGGCGTCTGATGGCTGGCCGCGCGCGGGACAGGCGCCCGGCGTCGCGCGGGGCCGAGGAAGCGGCCCAGATGGTTAGGGCGAGGTGGGGGGTGCTAGTTGGTCTCCCAACGATCCGCGGGCCTGCTCGCGGCTCCAAGATGTCTTGGCCACGGGCGGGAATTGCGCGGGCTGGGGTGCTTTCCAAGGGGCGCGCGATCGGCGATCGTTCGGGGCAAACTCGAACGGGAGGGGGAGCTTTTTGATGCTGGACCATGGGGCCCAGGTCACACTTCGTTCAGAGTCGCGAGCGCTTCGGGCCAACGAGGCCCGCGGGGTGGTCCGGGGGGGGGGGGGCGGGGGGGGGCGCCCGCTGGGCCATGGGCGGGCAGGGAGGGCCCGCGCCCGGTGGGAATCCCCGACAATCTCAGACGATCATTGCATTATTCCCGCGCAAGAGGTGGGATTCATGGACGGCGCGTCTTGCTCAGAGCACGTTGCGTGGGCAAGCAATGCGCGGCGCGCGCGGGGCCGCATGTTCGTCGAATGCACGGGCGCGGAAACGCATGGACAGGGCCCCCGACCCGGGCATTTATTTCGATGGCTCTCGTTCGGGCGGGGCTGGGCGCGGGGCAGCAAAGTGCAGGCCGCGCCCGCGCGGGGCGGAGGTGCCTCGAGCGCTTGGACAGCATGGCCCGTCGTGACATTCGGCACCGCGCCTTGATCTACTCTCGCGGGAGTTCGAGGGCCACGTCGTGGATGATTGGCGAGCCCCTTGAGTCAGCGGAGGCCGCCAAGCCCAATTAACGCAGTAGCCAGGGCAGCGAGTATGCGATCGCGAAGAAGGTGGCGGCGTTGCAAAAATCCTGAATGAGGTCGCTCGGACGCGGGGCTGCGGTTTTGCCCGCGGACCGCGCCCTTGCCGGGAACGGCCGGCAGAAGTACCGGCAGTACTTGAAACATGTGAAGGATGAAGGGGCCCAAGCGCGAGCGCGGGCCGCCAGTTTGGCAGCTGCTCTCGGTGAGTGCAAAAATCGAGCAGGGTGGATTCCTATCTGCTCGTATAATTAAGGGGCCACTGACGAGGCTGCTAAGCATGCTCGAGCGTGGCGTGCCAGAGGGCGCGAGCGAGTGGATCAAGGAATTCATGTACTGCCCCATGCTCGGCCAGAAGCGGACTAGGCTCACCCCGGGCTTTCGCGGGCGCGCCGCAGTGCGTTCGACCCCCCAGTTCGCGAAAGAGTTCGACGAGGATCAGAGGGCTGCGCGGGGGGGAGGGGGGGGGCGCGACGGACCCAGCTTTCGACGGTACCCTCCAGTGGGCGCCGGTCGAGCTGCCGCCGCTGGGGCAGGGCCAGAAGAGCGTGGAGCTGATACGCGTGATGGGCATTCAACTGCGAGCTTGAGGAGGCGCCAAGAAGATCGGGTGCGCGCCGACGGGGGAGCGATCGGCGCGGCGCCACGGCCTTCGCGGGCCGATGGGCGGAGGGGCTGGGCCATCTAGGAGGGGTTCGGCTCCTGGGCCTCGGGCCTTCGCCGGGGGGCGGGAGGGCGGGCTGCGCGACCGATTCGTCTTGCGATCATTATGCCGCCCTCGGGCAGCGTTCCGCCCTCATGTGCTCTCGGCCCTTGGAAGGTCTTCTGCGAGGCAGAATCCTTCTTGGATTGCCTGGTTCGACGTAGGCCAGAGCTGCCCAACGCCAGTTGAGAGCATGATCGAACTTGTGGCGCGAGCGAGGTCGCACTAGTGGGAGGAGGAGGAGGAGGAGGAGGAGGAGGAGGAGGAGTAGGAGGAGGAGGAGGAGGAGGAGGAGGAGGAGGACGAGGACGAGGACGAGGACGAGGAGGAGGAGGAGGACGAGGACGAGGACGAGGACGAGGAGGACGCGGAAGAGGAGGAGGAGGAAGAGGAGGAGGAGGACGAGGACGAGGACGAGGACGAGGACGAAGACGAGGAGGAGGAGGAGGAGGAGGAGGAGGAGGAGGAAAAGGAGGAAAAGGAGGAAAAGGAGGAGGAGGAGGAGGAGGAGGAGGAGCAAGAAAATGAGGGCTCTAGGGCCGTCCTGGGGTCCATTTACCGCCGTTTTGCGGGCCTTTTCGAGCGTTTGGGGCCCTTTCGGCCTGTGTTTGGGGCCTCTTGGACGTTACTTGACCGTCTTGGGGCTATGTTGAAGCCCTTCTGGACCGTCTTTGGTTGTCTGTAGCCCGAACATTTGAATGCGAATATGTTTCGAATACAGCGGAGACGCATGTGTGCCTCTTCGGCCCCTTCCGGAGGGACTCTTGGAGTTCTTTTGGACCATATCGGAGGTTTTGGGGGGGCATCTTGCGCCGTGTGGAGACCATCTTGGCCGTGTGGGAGGGCGTTTAAGGGGGCTATGCTGGGCCATCTTGCCCGTCCTACACGAACTCTGAAGGACATCGTTTTGCGGTTGCTGTCGTCATTGATACCTAAGCAGATGTTGTTCTCGCTGTTATGTTGTTACGTCGATGCCGCCTGTACTGACCATGTGGTTATGATTTTGCGACTCCCCACATCTGATTTAGCATACGGGGTCTTTACCTGGCCATAAGGATTACGTTGTCTGAGACCTCGGCTTGCTTTGAGGATGTTTGTTTTCATATTTGGTGTCGGCGTTGGGGCAGTTAAACATCCACAATCCAAGCACCACTCTGCAAGCAAAAGGGGGCGGATTCAGTCTCCTTCGCTCCGTCCCAGTGGACAGGGGGTCTCTTGGGAGTTCTTTCGGGAGCCTCCTAGAGGCCTCTTGGAGGCCTTTGTGGTCTCTTGGAGGTCGCTCGGGGTATTGTGGCGGGTTCTTGGGTGCACCTGGGGGTCTCTCGGGAGCCAAGTAGCGGTCTCAGGGGACATCTTGTGGGAAAGGACTCGAAATATCAGTTCGAGTACTCCCGCTCGGGTCCCTCTTTCGGCCGTTTGGGGGGCTTGGGGGGGGGCCTCGGGGAGCGTTTGGGGGCGACATTTGGGACCTGTTGAGCCAACTCCGGCGCCTTTCGGGCCCGAGATCCAGGCACGACTGTCAACTCCTACGTCCTACGTGCAGGTGTGTTCAGTGGTTTTCCGTGCTTTGGGCTTCTTGGTTGGGGCGGCCCAGAGGGCCTCTCAAACGGTTCAACAACATGTGCTCAAGAAGGCTCCAGGACGAGACTCGAGTCCACCTTCGGCGACGTTGGAAGCATGGACTTCCACTCACGCTCCCTGGCCTTCGAGCAAGTCATGCGAGTGGTCCCACAAGTCACGTCGGGATCCCCAAGAAATCCGACAAACGGAGATCTGGGCCTATCTGATAGGCCTATTTGATAGGCCCTATCGAATCATGCTTTAGAGTATTCCGTGCTCCACTAAGTGCCTGCGGCACGGTGCCGGATATCTCTATTCGATAACGGTTATACCGATCTCTTCGAGCCCCAGGGACGCTCTTGTGTGGTTTCGTGTGCGACAGGTGTCGGAAACAATTAAGCAACACTCACGCATAACATACGGTGTGATCTCCCCCCCCCACACTCCCCCCGAATGCAATGTTGGGCTCGGATCTCCCGAGTTTGAGTGTCGGACTAGTGATGCGCATGCGTGCCAACTTTGAATTGCGGGGGGAGGGGGGAGTGTTGCTTAATTTGCTTCTCTCAACCGGATGGCCCTATCGAGCTTCCCATCAGTCTTGAAAAGTAGGTACTCTTGGATTCCCAGATTCCAACATACTTCAAGCGCCTTCCCACTTGAATGATCGGGTGGCTCTATCTTTTCCGTCCTCTTTAGGGGGGCGGGCGGGACACCCAATCTGTTTTCAACGCCTTCCTACTTCATGTTTCTACCTACTTCTTCTGAACGATGGCTATCCCGAAGAGGCTCGTTAGGGCCATCTTCGAGCCGATGGTGGCCACCCTGGAGCCGCCTTCGGGGCGGTCTTGTGGACTGCGTGCCAGCGGCTCTCAGGGGGAGAGGCGGTCTTGTGAACTGCGCCAGCGACTCTCAGGGGGAGAAGGAGCAAAACAGGGAGGAGGAGGAGGAGGAGGAGGAAGAAGAGGAGGAGAAGCAGGAGGAGGAGGAGGAGCAGGAGGAAGAGGAGGAGGAGGAGGAGGAGAGAAAGAGGAGGAGCAGGGAGGAGGAGGAGAAGACGAGGAGGAGGAGGAGGACGAAGGAGAGACGAAGGAGGAGACGGAGGAGAGGAGGAGGAGGAGGGAGGAGGAGGAAGGAGGAGGGAGGAGGAGGAGAGAGGAGAGGAGAAGGAGGAGGAGGGAGGAGGAGGAGAGAGGAGGAGGAGGAGGACGGAGGAGGAGGAGGAGGACGGAGGAGGACGGACGAGGAGGAGGAGGACGGACGAGGAGGAGGAGGACGGACGAGGAGGAGGAGGACGGACGAGGAGACGAAGAGGAGACGAGGAGGAGACGAGGAGGAGGAGACGGAGGAGGAGGAGACGGAGGAGGAGGAGGAGGAGGAGGAGGAGGAGGAGGAGGAGGAGGAGAGTAAGGATGGGGAGGAGAGTGGAGAGTGGAGAGTGGGGAGTGGGGAGAAGCAATCCGACTCCTCTCTCCGCAGGATTGCTGATGCACCCTGGGATGTCGACGGCCCACGCGCCGGCCCCTGGCGTGGCCCCATCCGCGGCCCCCGCACTGGTTGTGCCGCCGTGGCGGACAGACCCTCTTCCAGGCCGCGCCGGCTTTCTCCTGGAAGGATCGAGGAGCAGCGCGCGTACCTTTTCTGCAGTAGGGGAACGAAGAATGACATAAGCATAAAAGCTCTGACCCCCCTGGCGGCGCCTCCTGCGCCGCCCCTGGCGCGCTCCGCGCGCCGCGCTCCAGGGAGGGGGGTGTCCAGTGCCGATCCGAGCAATATGCGCGGACCTCCGAGCTTCTATTTTCATGTCATTATTTGTTTCCCTATTAATTCCAGAAGAGCTCTTGTGAACGATATCCTAGTGCATCGCTTTCCCCAGTTGGTTGAGTCCATTGCTCGGCAGGTCAATTCCCTCGCAAAAGCAATGGTCAAGTGTATAGTGTTGCGGTCTGGTCTATCTTGCTTCTCGCTATCGGGCACGGAAGTCCCAGAACGCCACAACGAAGTGGAACCGCACTTGCAGGTTAGATCTCGCCAACCTGGCCGCGATCCGCGCTGCCCATGACGATGCTACCAGCGATGCGCATCAGCCAGCACCTGGCGGTGCTATGCGTTGCCGATATTAGCGTTTGAAAGGTTCTTTCCGTTTGTCATCCATTTCGCATTGACGAGTTTCTCCCATTCTTCTCCCTTCTTTTTTTGTTTCGCCCAGCGAGGCACGTTGCCACCGACGATGGCGCTGGAAGGCCTGGCTACGCAGGCAGCGGCTCTCGGTATGCGCTTTGGTGCGCTGTCAACATCGCTCGCCAAACGTAAGTACGTGTATTTGGTTGGGACAGCATCTATTCGTATGGTTTTTGAGGTCTCGCCCGTCCTCCACTTCCACCTCCTCCTGGGCCGTCCCGATTCGGCTGGAAGGCCGATCCTCGATCTGGCGTAGCTTACAGACAGCTCCGACATGCATTCGTCGTCGTCCTCCTCCTCCTCCTTCTTGCCATTCTCTTGAGGGTGTGACCCATCAGTGCCCCTGGGCTGCCTTCGGCCTTGCTCCAGGGTGCATCAGGAAGGTCTCCCACTTCGCCTCGCACGACCATCCGGCCGATGCTTTCTGCAGCCTGTGGCCTGTGCCTGGCAGGAGCTTTTCGTAAAGGTGGAAACCGTGGACTCCTCGTCGAGCTCCAACCATGCATGCTGGGTGTCGTTGCGATTGCTAGCATGTTCTCGCGTGTGATTAGGTGCTAAACTCATTATGCCGTCGACTTGGCAGGACATGACAGTGCTCGATGTGTTACCGCCTGGTTTTCTCGTGGTCCGATGCGTTACCGCCGAAGTACGCGATTTGTTGTTCATCGTGGTCCGATGTGTTACCGCCTAGCTCGTCTCTAGCTTCTGGTTGTCATGCTCTTCGGGACATGAAGGTTGTTCATCACATTCTGAAGCCTGCCTAACACGGCCGGGTGGCTACTGCTGGTATTGGCACGGCCCCGAGATGTCCGCAGAAAGTATATCAGCGTCGACTCCAAGTGGACGCATTATGAAATAGTTTTAGGGTCGCTAATTTGGTTGTACTGCTGTGTGCATGCGATGTGTGGATGTGTGGCGACGGTGCAGACGGTGATCTGTGGCGAGGGTACTGTACATGAATACGCATCCACTTGTATACATACATATGTTTGAATATTCAGATTGGGAAAATGTATCCTCTAGAGGCACATTCTAGGCTAACGCCTCTAGAGCTTAGTGGGCCCTGGAAACGGCAGGGCCGTTTCTTTACCGGTTCTGTTTTGCCGTTTTTTCGCCAGTTCCGACGCCGTTTTTGTTACCGGTTCAGGCCCGTCTAGAGGCATGTCTAGAGACGATTGTAGGGCCCCTTCGAGACTCCAAGTGATACGCTCCCACGCACACGCTCCAACCGCCCCCAGAGAGCGGACGTGCCGCTAACGCCCTCCTGGTCCCTTTTCTGCGATGCGATGCTGGACGGCCCGCATACAGATACACAGGAGCCTACGCAGGGAAACAATAAACGTGAGAAAATGAGAAAGCCTGGGGGAGACCTGTTTCCCCGTCCAGGTGATCATGGTCGTCGTCGTCGTCGTCGTCGTCGCTGCCGCCGCAGTCGTCGTCGTTGTCGTCGTCGTCGTCGTCGACGTCGACGTCGACGTCGACGTCGACGTCGACGTCGGCGTCGACGTCGTCGTCGACGTCGCCGTCGCCGTCGCCGTCGTCGTTTTCGTCTTCGTCGTCGTCGTCGTGGTCCTCGTCGTCGTCCTCGTCCTCGTCCTCGTCCTCGTCGTTTCTGTATCTTTCTTTTTCCCTATCTCTCTCTTGTTCTCTCTCTCTCTCTCTCTCTCTCTCTCTCTAACTGTCTGTCTAGCTGTGCTAATAGAGTGAGTACCACGCAGACAACTGATTGCTCTGGTCGGATTTCGGTCCGTGGCTGGGGCCCCAGGTAGCCCCGAGACAGCCGCCAATGGGCCCCAGGATGTATCCAGAGGCCTCGAGAGCCCCCTACGGCGGCCCAGATGGCTCCAAGATGGCTCGAGATGTGCCCAAGATGGCCCACAGAGGTGCAAGGGAACACCCCTGAGACCCCGGGAGAGCTCCGAGAGGCTCCCCAAAAAGGGCCCCCAGGCACACCTCGCAAATCTCCGGTTGGGCTTCTGGAAGTTTTTTGCGTTTTTCGCTTTCTCGCCTTGTCAACGCTCGTCGACAGCCCAAAGGCCCCCAAGACCGCCCCAAGGAGGCACAAGAGGCCCCCAAGACGACCCCGGGATGTCCCAAGATCGTCTCAAGACGGCAAAGCGGCCTAAGAGGCGCCCGCGACAACCGATGATGGCCCAATTATGGCCTCAGGTGGCCCGTTGCCCGAGCAGTTTCTGCGCGCCCCCTTGCACCGCGCGCGAATCTTCGCCCCGCGCCAGAGCTACCTAACGAACCAAAGGCTTCGACGGCGTAGGGCAGCAAGCCGTAGAACACTGGCACAACTATGAGCAGACACGTAAATGCACATAGTCAGAGAGAGAGAGAAAGAGAAAGCCAGCAGGCGCGGAGGCGAACCAAAATATTCAGCCAGCGACCAGGGAATCAGGCCTCGAGCGGGGAAGTTGTTTTCGGCCGAACCAGGAAAGTATTTCGTCGAGCGAAGAAGCCCTGCTGGGCGTGACCACTCATCTGCTCTCGCGCGAGCGAGGATTTGTTTCGTGCTGGCGGTTAAATGGGGGATTCCGTTCTCGAGAGTTGTGCCTTCATGTCTTGGGGGCGGGGCTTCATCTCCTGCTTCGGACGCGCGGTGGTTGCAGGTGTTTTGGATTTCTCTGGGGATCTGGGGGCATGCTTAGCATCTGCTATCATTGCGTCGGCTCCCTAAAGGCGGCGATTGATCAGGCTGTCCTCGGTGCACTTAAATCTAGGCGTTCTGCTGCTCGGCTGTCCCGCGCAGAAGTTCGCAATGGTAGGGCGAGCGGGTCCTGCGACTTCCGTTCCCTACGTTCTCGGCGGTCTCATGCGTTTCCATCTCTTGAAATTTGTAGAGAACATCTTGGCTTGACGACTGTTCTCTTCAGACTTGTTTGTCGCGTGCCCTCGATCTGCGGTGGTTGCAGATGCCCCTGGCGGTCGGGGGTCGTACTTCGCGTCTGCTTTCGTTGCGATTTGGCTCTCTGGGGGCGGCGCCTCAGCGGGCTGTCTTAGGGCCGTCAGCGGGCTGTCTTTTAGGGCGGCAGTCATGGCGGAGAGCGCCTGGGACTTAGGCGCTCTCCGCCATGACTGCGTCAGGCGCGGCCCCGCGCGTGCGCGGCGCGCCCTTGAAAGAGAGGCGCAGGTGATCGCGGGCGGACGCAACGCGCCCGAGTTTTCAAAATTGGGGCAGCGATCCGCCGACAACAGTTAACGCGATTATTAGTCGCGACGATGGTGACGATGGCGGCGACGACGGCGGCAAGGCCGACGACGGCGCCGACGTTGATCGCGCCCGCCGATAACGAGGACGATGTCCTCGCGTCGGCCATGGGTTTTTCGCTGAAGGAGTTCGACTTGCGCGCGCAAGTGGCGCGCGCAAGTGGCCCGCGCGGCGTTGTTCGACGCGGATCGCGCCCCCCCTCCCCCAGCGCGCGCAAGGGTGCTCGAGTGAGTTCGACGCGCGGCGCGAAAAACCCGCCATGCAGAATCTGATCAATGCGTTGATCAGCCAACGATTTCCACGAGAGCCCACAAGACCGCGAGCGCAGTTTTCTGTCTGAAACGGACATTGCAAACCATGTTTTTGACGTGTGCTCGGGGCACTCGTCTATGCAATCCTCGCGAAGCTTTGGTTTTTGAAGGATTTCGGCACGCGCGCGCGACGGCGCGAGCGCGCGCGTCGCCCCGCTTTCTGCAAGAGGATCTTCGCGACAGCGCGCGCGCAAGGGCGCCCCGGCGATTTTGACGCGCGCGCGAGTTTGACGCGCGCGGGCGCAGGCTTGGGAACTTCTGCTGCGAATGCGCAACTCGCAACGCGAAAGGGCGCGCCGTTGACCCGGTGTGGGGGGGGGTCCGAATGTGTGCTTGGAAAGGGGAATGCGTGGTGCGCATTCTATGCGGCGCAATAGATGTCGCGCATTACACGTGCAAGCTATGCGTTTGAATCTATGCTGCGCAGCCCAAGTGGCGCGATCTATGGCGCGCGAAACATGTTGCGCGACCTATGTTGTGCAGCCCGCGTTGTGACATTTATAAGCTGCAATATGTGTTGTGCAAGCTTTGTGGTGCAATCTTTGCGGTGCAATCTATTCGGTGCAATTACTTTCTGTTCGCAGTGGGTCGCCCGCCCCGCTGCTCGCGCAAACGCCCCGCCCGCCCGCCCGCAATTTGGTTTGCAAACCTCGCGCGGCGGCGATTGCGATGAGTGCTTGGCGCTGGCTGTTGCATCTCCACGGCCGCGCCAGCCCGCGCATGCGCGCGCGCGGCGGCCCGGCAGTTTGGCGCGACCGACGCGGCCGCGGTGGCGCTGACCGCTCGGCGCATCCAGGCGGGCACTCGACTGCGAGTCGGCGACTTGGGCGGGCGCGGTATCGTGACAGCGTCGACGCTTGTAGACGCGATCGTGGCGATTGTAGCGACGTTGCTGACGATGCTGCTGACAGCGACGACGGCGCTGCCAGTCGCGCCGACGACGATGACGGCGTCTTTGCGTCGGCGATGAAGGTTTCGAAAGGAATTCGAAATGCGCGCGCGGCAGACGCGAGAGTGGCTCGCATGGAATCATTTGATACGGACCTTGCCACCCAGCGCGCGCAAGGGCGTTCGAACGATTTCGACATGCGCGCGCGAAGCACGTTTGGTAGCATTTTATGAAAGTGTTGAAACGCTTATGGCTTGCATAAGAATTCGCAAGAGCGCGCGCATTTCTTTCTTTATATCTATATATATAGCACCCCGCAATTGCGGATAAGAGTGAGGGGGCGGGCGCGGGCGACGCGGGCGTCGTCAAGCCTGCGGACCTCGTGGCCCCCACCTTCCTTGTCGATGGCGCTCTCCTCCTCCTCCTCCTCCTCTTTCTCCTCCTCCTCCTCCTCCTCCTCCTCCTCCTCCTCCTCCTCCGCCTCCTACTCCTCCTCCTCTTCCTCGTCCTCGTTCTCATCGTCATCGTCGTCCTCCTCCTTCACCTCCTCCTCCTCCTCCTCCTCCTCCTCCTCCTCCGTTTCTTCCTCGTCCTCCCTCTCCCCCCTTCGTCCTTCCATCATCGTCCTCCCATTGTCGTCATGTTCCTCCTCGTCGTCCTCC